GCCCCTCCTTGCTGAGCCGGGTGGGGGAGGGTTTGGAAGAAAGGGGAAGAGTGGGGGTGGGACTGAGCTGTCTCTCATCCCCCACTCCAATCTCCCCTTCCCCCACACCAGGCCTGACGCTCTGAAGCCCAGAGCCCAACGCGGTGGTACGCAGAGGGAAAGACTACGGGTTTTATTTTTGTGTTTTGGGGGGGGGGGGGTTTGTAATTGTGATTATTTTTCTCACTTTGGGGGTCAGGAGGTGCGGGTGCGTCTGCGGCGCCCACGTGGTGGTCCCGCTCTCCTCCCCAAGACAATATTCCCTCATTCTCTCAGGCCCGGCCCAGCAGAGGTAAGGGGCAATCTCCGCAGCCCAGACTGGGATGCGGGGACCAAACCTACCTTTTTGTTACGAAAGAAAAACAGGCCGGACCTCCAACGGGTCTAGTTGGGGAGTCAGAAAGTGAAAACTGTAACCCCACCCGTGTAGACCTTCCGCGGAATCGAGGGGGTCCAGAGGGTCGGGCGCGAGTAACGTGTGTGTATGTGTACCTGTGTGGTGGGTGGGTGCTGTGTGGTGTGTATGTGTGATGTGGTTGTGTATTTGCCGCAAGTGTGTGCTTGCCTGTGTAGTGTGTGCTCCGGCTGCTGGGTTATGGGAGTATGAGTGTGACTGTGCTGTGCGTGTGTGTTCGGTGCTATGTTGTGTGCGCCCGTGCACACACTCGCTTCGTTGGCGCCCGCTAGATGCATGTCCCCACTCCGCCACGTCCTACCTCCGGCTTCCCCCGGGACCGGATGATGGAGACCTCGGCGGAACGCCCTAGTTTCCGTGCTGCGGTCTGGGAAGGTCTGAAGAACCTGGCCGAGCTGTCTTCGTTCGGGGCGCGGCGAATTCGTTGCAGCCGGGTTGGCCGCGGGGCCTCCCGCCAGCTCTCCACGTTCCCCCGGGCGTCCGGCGTGCCGTCCCGCGGTCTGTCCGCCGGCTCTGGACGCGGGCTCCTCCCTCAGGCCCGCCGGGTCCGAGGCTGGGACACCCGACCGAGAACTCCCGCGTCCCCGCCGCCGAGCCCCGCGCCTCCGCGCCCCCTGCCCGGGCCATTTCCCGCGCCCGCGCTCCGCCAGCTCCAGCCGCGCAGAGCGGGGCCTCCAGCGCACCTTCAAAGCCGCTCCAGTTTTTGCTAAATGTTCTTTTTGGGGCGTGGGGTGGGGGTACTTGGTCTAAGAGTGGTTCATAGTTTGTTTTATTTTTAACCTGTTTGGTGACTTCGCATTTACGTGTATTTTAAACGTCCCAGTCAGTCCCAAACAGAAGGCTTTCGCTGGGGCGGAGGCTGAAATTTGGAAATAAAGCAAAGACGACGTGGGAAGAATGTCGCTGAGGAGGGAGCCGGAGACCCTGGAAGGGAGCCCGCCTGCCCAGCGGTGCCCAGATCTCTAGGTGGCGCTGACCCCAAGACCTCTCCCCTCCCCCTCCCCTGGCAGTGTCTCCAAGGTTATCTGGAAAATGAGGCGGGAACGCCAGTCACAGAGAAAGCTCTCGTGGGAGCGTGGAGGTGAGCGCCAACCGAAGTGCACGGCCAGGCTGGCGGTGACGTCGGTAACCAGCCCGCCGCCCCGCTTGCGCCAGCGCTTATTAACTGCTCGATCAGAGAGAAGAAAAGAGACACAATAATTCAAAATTTCAGGAAAAGTCAAATTGGAGTGGGTGGGGATGCAGGGGTCTCTAGACTGCCCCTTCCCCGCCTTGCCTACAGTGGGGCTTTAACAACCGCGCAACAGGCTGAGCAGAACGAGGAATCCTCACCCCCTACCCCCGCCAAATAAATTATTCACAGTTTCCCCAAACCGAGTTACTAGGGAAGCGCCGCCAAATCGGACTTAAATTCCACTGAGAACGGACAAAACTAAACTAAAATTTCGTTTGGGGACGGTGGGTGGGATGGAGGAGAAAGGGCTCGGATGATCCCGCTCTGGCCCCCGAGGGCCGAGAACTGGGGTCGCAGTGGAATCTATTTCCCTGGGCAGATCCACACAGGTGCTGCGTGGAGAATCTGTACCGGGTTACAGACCCCGGAGCGGACTCCAGTCACAGACGCCCACCTTTTGCTCAGGAGCGTGCAGCCCGCTGGATACGAAGCCCGAGGGCTGTGCGGAAAGCCCTGCGCACCCACCACGTGTTTCTGGTGTCGGAAGGGGCACTGGTTTGGACGGAGTTCCCGGCTTCAGGGGAGAGTCCGAACTCACTCCGAGTAAACTGAAGCGAGGTATACATCTCAGGGTCGCGGGCGCTTATTCTGCATAAAGAATCGTTACTGGATCCGGTGGGTTGCGTTTGTCTGGCGACTTGCGAAGAGCCTACAAACATCGCGCTCCGCGCATATCTGTCAGGTCCAGTCGCCGCACCTCGGCTGATTCCCGAGCCTGCGGTGGCGCGGTGTCCCCCACTCTGGACCCCGCGGTCGGCTCCCAAGGCCTTATTTCGGTACCGGGGATCTTCAAGCGGACCCCTTTGGCTAAGGGAGAGGACCTGCGTGAGAAAGCTGCGAGAGCCACTTTTAGCTTTCCTGACCATCCAGAGGCTATGTTATTGGTAGAGACAGGAGAGAGTTCGTTTTGTTTTGCCTTCCTTCCTCCTCCTCCTCCAACTCTTCTTCCTCCTTCTTGGTTTTACTATGTTTTGGGATTTTGGTGTTTGCAATTCATTCTAAAGCCAATGACAAAGGCTTGGAGGTTGTAAGTGCAGCTCCCTCATTTTATCCCTTCTGGCTAAAATGAGACTCAGAGATGGGAAATGGCCAACCCAGGCTTCACACAGCCAGCCAAGCTGGGATGGGAACCCAGGCCTCAGGCCTCTCAGGCCAGCCCTCCCTCCCCTCTGAGCAAACACACATTTACTGCCCTTCCTAGCCCCTGTCCCCATCCCTGCCTCCTTTCCCGACTCTCGCTCAGAGGCCCTGTGGTTGGTGAAATAGAGTCTGCATCTGAGGACACTGCTTTGGGGGGCGGGGAGGGGGGGTTCCCACCAGGTGCCCCAGCCTCACACCCTCCAGCACAGGGAAGTAGGGAGCCCTGAAGATGGAGGTGGTGATGGAGGGAGAGATTTTTTCATTGGTAGACTGGAGATAATAATAGTATCTGCTTTCCAGGGGTTTTGTGAAGATGCACAGGGCTTGGATGTTGTGAGTGTTTCATAAATTCTAAAGGGCTGCAGGGTGTTTTCTACTGCTGCATGGGGTTGAGGATCCTGCATGAGTTCAGTGAAGCCCCTTCAGAGTTTAGGAGGGCCTCTCACTATGGGTCTTCCAGCTTTGGAGGATGTCAAAAGTCAACTGCTACAGAGGCCTGCCAGAAAACCCACCTTTGCCCTTTCTTGTTAGGTCCAGCACAGAAAGGTCTCTGGGTTCATTGTCCTGGGAGGAAGTGTCCTTCCACCCAGCCTTTCAGTTCCACCTCAAAATCACCCCCTTTGTAAACCTTCCCTGACAGCCAGCCCCACCCCAAAGAGCATTCTTTTCCCTTGGTGCCCTCTGAGATGCTGTCCTTGGAACCCACCAGGGCACTGTTGTGTGGCTGCCTCCCTGCAGAAGGTGATTTTGGTAGAAAGGATGGTTACCCTGTAAGTTCATAGCCCCAGCTCTAAGGAGGTGGTGGCATGGCTGGAGTTGGGGAAGAAAGCAGGAAAGGTGGTCCCCATATGGAAATAGCATTTCTCAACTGAGCTAAACCTGCATACCCTGTTGGATGAGAAGGAAGTGGGTTCTCCAGGTGCCCAGAGAGTAGGCGATCCCCTAAAGAGTTTGCTCCTGAAGCTGCAAGTCTTCAGTGGGAAGAGCTCAGAGCCAGGTGCCAGGGGTGTGTTTTCCTGGAAAGACTCATTTCTATCCCTTCCAAAGGGGAGTCCAGTATGCTCCTCCTCCCCCAGGGACACCTGACTGGGGGGGGTTTAACCACCTCTGTACACCCCTTCAACCTTTCTGTCTCTCCAAGGAGGTCTGAGCCTGGCCACCCCCTAGGGCCTTCTCTTACTCTTCTAAGCTTCCTTCTTTCTCAGATCGTCATCCTCTCTCACCACCCCCCCCCCCATTCTAAGACTGCTATCTTGACTATGAACTCTGATGAGAGCACACGTGTGTGTACAGGCATGAATATGCCCATCCGAGGCACGTACTCAGGTGGGAGAAGATACGTGGGTATGCTGGGGAATCTGTGAGGACTGGTGGGCTTGGGGGTGTAACTGTCTTTGTCCTAACATGCAGCAGCCTAATGTGTGTGGACAGGTATCTTTCATAGGGTGGGTACACATGCATCAATGTTTATGTACTTGGGTTTTCTGTATTTTCGAGTGTGTACACCGGCAATTTGACTTGCATAGTCGCGGGTCTGTGTAAGAGACAAGAATAGTGCTTTTATTCAGGGGTATTACTGTTCATCATTGGGAATGTAGATAGGTAGACATCACAGCCTATACTCTGTATTTGCAGATCCATAAACGAACCTCTCTGTTCGTGGAGAGATGCTAGTGCGAACATTGGTGTAGACACCTATGTGTTGGTATATGCAAGTGTATATGTTGTATTTGAATGGAGTCTCTGTGTAGTTGCGGACCTGTGGCCATAGACGCTTGTATACGTAGACACCTGCCCTTCGAGGCCTTGGATACTAACGTTCAGAGGCAGGTCCTGCACACACACTGCAAAACGCGGCCACCGAGACTGGCCTCCTCTATTTCCCGCGCCCTCCGCAGAGCCATCAAACCGGACTCGCCTCTCACTCCCGGATTTTTTCCCGGTTCGTGCAAGGCTTCAGCCTCACGCGGCGCCAGGAAAGGCGGGGCGCCACTCGGGAAAAAGCCGAGACGGCGGATCCCTCCCGCGGCCTCGGGGGCCTGCAGGAGCTGTGACGTCGCAACCAAACCCGGGCCCCCGCCGGAAGTGGAAGCCAGGGCGGGGGAGGAGGGGGGCCGGTGAGGCGCAGTCGCGGCGGTCGCGGCGTGCCCGGCCGAGGGCAACCCGAGGAGGCGTGCGCGCCGCGCGCCTGCGGGGCAGGCTGGGCGCCCGGCGGCACCTCCCCAGACCTGGCGTCTGTTTACCAACAAACTGCCCGCGCTCGGCAGGGACGCATTCCGACGCGCTGAATAAGCTGCGGGCACTGTCTGTCTGGTCTCAACTCCCCTGCAGGTCCGTGGCGGCAGGATCAGAATCGCCCTGCAGATCCCCAGAGCTGGAGAATGCGACCGCAGGTTCCCTGCGTCCCCGAAGCCACAGGGCCTCCGCCGCTGTGCTGCTCCCCTCGCCCCTTGGCCAGCCCAGCCTCGCCAACTCCCTCGTGTTTCTGTTATGACCGAGGTTCTCAGACTGCCCCAACCGCGCTGCAACCTCGGCACCTCTCTCGGAGAGGACCCCGAGATAGCTGGGCCTAGAGCGTGCGCGCCGTCCTCCTCCCATCTCCCAGTTGTGAATTTCCCTGCCGCGGGCTGCCCCCGGGGGCGGGCCCGGCACTAGGCCTCCGTGAGGTCACCGCGTGCGGGAGCCAATCCACGGCGTCTAAATGGGCGGGGCCCCCGTCGGGTCCCGGGAACCGAACCCAAGAGCTGGAAGAGGGGGGCCCCATGGATTTAGGGGGGAGGGGAAAAGCCATGGGGGGCACCCCCCCGGAACCCCTTTCCCAGGCGCGCGCTCTCCGCTGGAAGAGGCGCAGAGAGACATTTTCCTCAGGATCTTAAGAGTGGGGGAGGCTGGCTGGGGGGCTCATCTGGCCCCAACGCCCGAGGCTCGAAAAAGAGAGTTGGCGGAGGGAGAGGACTACGTGCCGGGCCATGGCCTAGGCCCTTTGGCCCCGGCCCCGGCCACAATGACCTCTTTGCCTTGCCCCGTCCCTGGCCCGGACCCCTCCAAAGCCATCTTCCCGAACATCGCCCCCGTCCCATCAGTAGTGGCTGCCTACCAGCTTGGCTTGTCTCCCGCAACCGCAGCAGCCTCCGACTTGCCCTATTCTGGGCCGTATGGCCACCTCTTGCCCTACCCTTACGCCGGGCCGGCGACCCCCAGAGACTCCTACCTGCCCTGCCAGCAACCCGCGGCGCCCTCCCAGCCGGCTCAGCAGGAGCGGGAGGCAGGTAAGTCCGGGCGGCGGCTCTTCCCACCTCTGGGGTCCTGCTCCTGTGCGCCCCTAAACTTCGTCCTCGCCTGGTTGGGCGCGGCTAGCGGGATTCAGACCTTACTCGGATTCCACTCGGATCTGGGGGTGGGGGGAGGGCGAAGGGATGGGGCGGGAGACAAGGGGGAGGGGCGGGGGCGAGTTGATCTAGGTCTCCTTTCAAGACCGACCTGGTTTCGATTTGCACTTGTGTGAAGCCCGTCGGCAGGGCTCCCTACCCCACCCCCTGGAGCAGCGGGGTTGTGTGTACCTACGTGTAACGGAAAACTGAAACAATCCAGATGTGGGTGTGGGTGCCTAGCCCCTTCTCCGGGATTCTCTCCATCGTGCACTCCTTCTCTTCCCCATGTCGCCTTTCTCTGCCTTCGTCTTGTCTCAGAAAGCAGTGCTCAAGTCAAAGCCTGATAAATAGAAATCAGGTCCCAGCTGGAGGGCGGTAGAATTGAGGTATTCGGGGGGTCCTTTCCCCTCTCCCCCAGACCGAGCCCGAAAGTGCCTGACAGAGAGGGAAAGCTGGCCTGGCAGAGTCTGGGGTTAGGACCCCACCACCCATTGTTCTAAAAATGTAGCCATAGGTGGGTCAGGCAGTCTCTCATTGTAGACCCCAGCCTTCCAGCCAAAGGAGCGAGCCACACCTATCATCTCCACCCTTTGCCTTTGGGATGGGTTAGGCCCCAGTTCCCATCGCCTGGAACAACTTTGAGCTCCTGAGAAAGTGCTCACTGGAAGGTCTCAAAGAAGCCAAGGAGCTGGCCTGTCTTCCTGGTCCTGGGCCTTGCATAGGCAGAACCCATGCAAGGCTATACATACACCCATCTGTACTGGCTCAGGCTTAGACCTCAGGCCCCCTGCACTCCCTGCCCCCACCTAATGGCCCCCACAATTGTCTTTGGCACAGTTTCCTCCAAGGATGCACATCCACTGACTGACTTCGCTGGAGTCAGCCCAGGACTAAGACACGTCCCTGCCTTCCCCTGTTGCTCCGCTGGGACACATGACCTTGTAAACATCAGAGCCACAATTGATCTTAGAGATTTGGGAGCTCAACCTCCTTGATGTACAGATGGGCAAACTGAGGCCCAAAGAAAGAGTGTGCCTGGGTCAAAGACAAAGCCTGCCTTCCAGGCTCTTGGCCCTTGCCTATTGACTCTCACTGCATGGGACCAAAAAAGAGGATTTTAGGAAACTTTCTCAGAGTCCCCAGAAGTTAACTGCCTTCTGTGCCAGAACTGGGGCTGCCTCTCCCGGGTGCTGGGTCTGTCGTTGGAGGAGGAGCAGGGGATGGGGGGGGGGGGGTAGTGTTTCTACAAATGATCTAATTTCCACAGACGAGTCCCTTGGATGCTTGCCTTCAGTGTCTGCCAGTATGGGACATTTTCGTGTGTCTGTAGTAGGGTGGGAATAAGATAACCTTGTCTTTAAGAGAACTGTCGTTAAATGAGCTTGGTATTTGCTGCCCTGTTTTCCACACTCCTTGCCTTCCCTTTGCTTGGTCTAAACACAAGAGAATGGAGAGTTCCTTTTCTTTACGGAATTTCCCCGGATCCAACGAAAACCACACATCGCCTTACATTAGATTGTAGCATTTTTCTACGGAAAGTGGTGGGTTTGGCCCACTCTAGACTGAATGATTGGGGTGTGAGTGAGGGCTTGGGGTCTTCCTTTTGCCCCCACTCTGTGTCCACTCCCGCCTCAGGGAGAGGTTTGGCTCCAAGTGAGCTGGCTACCACCACGCACTGAGCAGGTGAGCACGGAGGTGCCTCGAGGGAGGCCCTTGGGCTCCATACTGGCGACCAGGGCAGATCCAGTCAGACTTGCTGCAACTGGTGTGGAGAAAGGCAGCTGTCGGGCAAGGAACTTAGAAGGGGGTCTGGTGGGAGAGTTAGGGCGCAGAGGGCGGAGAGAGTTCAGTAGCTGGGGCTGCCTCCCTGCCTGTCTCTGCGTCACCGCCCAGAGCGCGCCGTCCACGCAGCCAGAGAGGCGCGGGTGGTCGCTCCGCTGCTGCCAGCCTGGGGCCGTGAGCAGTAGGGTCGAAGCAGGGGAGGCCGGACAGGCGCGGGCGGGAGCGGAAACCCAATGGTTTTTCTGGGAAGTGGCTGAGGCGGGGGTCGAAGGGGGTGGATCTAAGAAGCCCGCAGCGCCCGAGGCCACGGGTGAGGGATGCGGGGGAGGTGAAGGCAACTGGTCACCGCGGCCGGCCAAGGGCGGGGAACCTGACGTATGTGGAGTGAGCCCGGTGAGCGGAAGAAGGCAGAGGGCGGGTCAGGGACCCGGACGGACACCTGGGCACCAGGGCCAAGCGCTCTTTCGGCTGGGGCTGGGGCGGCTCTGCAGACCCGTGTGGGGTGCGGCGAACATTGCCCTAAACCCGGGGGCATTGCAGCCGCTTGCTCCACCTCCGCCCTACCATCTGCATGGAATGGCCTCGGGTGTCCCGGTAGAGTGGCATAGGTTAGCCATCGGAAGAGGGGAACCTCTCGCACCTCCACCCCCCTTGCAATCTAAGGCCAGGCTGTCCCACGGCCGAGATTCCTTGAGAGGCTGGGCCCTGGGGGCAGGAGGTGACCAGATCTCCGGCGGCGGCACCCGCAGCGGGATCCAGGAGCGGCCCCAGGGCCTGCGCTGAGGGCGCTGCGCGCTCTCCGAACCAGTCACCTTCCCTGCCCGCCTGGAACCCCTCTGTGACTGCAGCCGGGCGGAGGGGGCTGCCCCACACTGACCTGGCTTCTAGGGCCCCTGAAAGCCATCTCCCCAGGCAGCCAGCCATGGGGCGGTGAGAGATGGTCTCTTTCTTGCAGGGTGTGCGTTTGGAGAGGGGCGGGCCCTTACAATAGGCGAGGCAATGACAAACCCTGGGGGCACTTTCCACACTCTCTTGCTGGGAAGGGTGCTCATCTTGGCGTTCAAGGTTCGCTCGGTCCCCCCCACCCCCCATCCACCCTTCTTCCGGCAGCGGGGAAGCTGCCACGCAAACACTGCCTGGGGCCTCTGAGCATTGCGTTTGCGTTCCCTCCGCCTGGAATGCCCTTCCCCCGTCATCTCCAGGCCTCAGTCCAGCCCTCGACCGAGCCTTTCTGCCCCGCCCCACCCCAAGCTGGCGCCACTGTACCCTGCTGTACTCTGACCTCCCGCCGCAGGCGCCGCCCGTACCCTCGCTCTGGCCCTTGGTGCTTCCTTCCTAGGGTCACAGGACCCATCAGAGTGGGAGCTCCCTGAGGGCAAGAACTGCGTCTCGCACCACCTGGCGCACGGTGGAAGTGGGGTTCGAAAGGAGCGTGGAGCAAGGTAGAGAGAGGCCGGCCAGGTGCCTGCGCTTTTTGCTAATCCGAGGCCGGCATGCAAACGAGATGCAAATGAGCCTATGAAACTGCGCGTGCGACCCTCTGGAAAACCGTCTTGTGCCGCCCCTAGGCTCCGAGAAGCCGCCGCTGTCCCCGGAGCCCTCGGAGCGGCGCCCGCAGGCCCCGACCAAAAAGCTGCGCAAGCCGAGGACCATCTACTCGAGCCTGCAGCTGCAGCAGCTGAACCAGCGTTTCCAGCACACGCAGTACCTGGCGCTGCCCGAGAGGGCTCAGCTGGCGGCGCAGCTCGGCCTCACCCAGACCCAGGTGGGGCGGTCCCACCTTCCTGCCCACTCACCGTCCCCACGTGTGTGCTCTGGGAACTCACCTACCCCCCACCCCGTATGAATGACTGATGAGTCCCCTAGCCCTGCTGTCACAGCTCTCTGGGGTGTGTTCATAGGTGGTCCTCAGTAAGTTGGGGGAATGTGTTAAAAGGTGGGGGGCCGGGGTCTGTCCAGGTAGAGAAGGGTACCCAGACTGGAGGGCTAGGTACTAGCTCAGAGGCAGGAACTAGGGGCTTCAGGGGCTATGGAGGATGGCAGCAAATGTTCCTGACCTCTGCACTTCTCCCAGGGCTGCTCCCTATCCCTGGGTCCCTTTCCCTCCACCTGACCGGTCCACATATAGCCTTCTCCTGATCTTCCATTCCTCCCCCTTTTCTCCCTGAAGGTAAAGATCTGGTTTCAGAACAAACGCTCCAAATACAAGAAGCTCCTGAAGCAGAACTCGGGGGGACAGGAAGGGGACTTCCCTGGGAGGCCCCCCTCCCTGTCTCCCTGCTCCCCACCCCTTCCATCCCTCTGGGATCTACCCAAGGCAGGGGCCCTGCCCACCGGTGGCTATGGCAACAGCTTTGGAGCCTGGTATCAGCATCACTGCCCAGATGTCCTGGCTCCACCTCAGATGATGTGAGTCTGGGGAAGGGCAGCTCGGCCCCCAGCCCTCCTACAAAGCCCAGGACCCAGCCCACCTGCACCCCTTCTGGACTGGGAGGAAACCAGCTCCAGATGGGTTTTCTCTGGAGGATGAGGAGCTAGAGAAAAAGGATGGGGTGGAGTCCTGTCCCCTTTGCCCCATAACCCAAACAGCCTAATCAAGGACTTTGCTCTTAACCACTGCCCCCCACTGCTACCATGGACTGGACACCTTCCCTCCAGCTGGTCAAGGCTCTGGTGAGAGAGTCACTGGCTGACGTTCGGATGGCTCCCAGAATCCCTAGCCTTGCCACTTCTTCCGTGAGGGGGTTGCAGTCCCACCACAGCCTGGGGTCAAGCCAGCAAGAAACACTGAGTGTTTTTTCTCTTTGTGTGCCTTGGGCCTTGCCCAGGCTCTTGGCGAGCAAAAGCAGAAGCGCAGTGGACATCCAGAGTCTTCGAGTTGACCACCGTTGGGTCCCGCCCACCGACTTTTCCTGGAGGTCAGCCCATTGCCCCATAACTGGTAGACCTGCTCACCATCCTGTGAGGTAGAAGGGATGCTGAAAATGTGGAGTTTTGTGGACCTATGTGTAATTTATGCTCTCTTCCTAAAAAAGCCCTCCTTCCCCCATGTCTATCCACTTTGAGTAAATAATGGATCCAATTATCATAGAATTTCACCGGTATTTATTAAGAGCCTGTTCCCCATCCCTAATACCTAACCAATGCACACGCACACACTCTCGGGAACCCAGAAGGGAACACTTTGGGGAGAATGGGGACAAATGAGCTTTCTGGATGAGTGTAGGTGGAGATACCCCCAAATAGGTGGGGTGGACCCTGCAATCAGCTCCTCACAGCTAATCTGTCTAGCATCCCCCCAAGCTCTTACCATCCCCCATCCCATGAGCTCTCAGAGATTAAAGTTCGTACAAAAACCTGGGCCTTGGCTGTGAGGTGTGTTTCCTGACTTCCGGGGCTGGTTGCTCATCTCTCTCTCCCATCTGACTCTTCTAGCCTTAAGCTAGAGGCAATGGATCCCAGTTTTGCCTCTACCACTAACTAGCTATCTGGCTCTAGCTCTGGAATGTTCTAACAACATCCATATTTTCATATGCTCCATTGTGAAACTGGAAGATGCTAATGCTGGGAATGACCAAAGTCTGAGCGATCCTCACCAGCGAAGTCTCTCCTGACCCAGTTCTGGAGGGAGCCGGGAACCTCACAGCCTCCCTTGCCCCTGCTCACCTTGGGAGAGGGCACCCCCACTGGGCCAGGCCAGTCCTGCCCTGGAAGAAGTGTGCTCCTTGGGGTAGAATGGCCTCAGCTCGCCTAGGGGAAGGAGGAAGGGGAGAAGAAGAAAACCCCAGAAGGAACTGGACTTCTCCTCCATCCAACAAACATTTGTTGCACCTCTGCTCTCTGTTACATCCTGGGGATATCAAGGTGACCTAGGCAGACAAATGGCCAGATGCTTGTATGTGCCTGGCTGAGGGAAGTACAGAAGGCAGTATGGGCACAGTCAGAGGCTCCATCTCAGATTCATGGCCACTGCTCCCCACCACACACACAGCACCCAACACAGGAGGGCTGAGGACAAGGGCTTCGAATAATTCAGGAATCCAGCCCAGCATGGCCCAAGGGGCTGGGGGAGGGGCCTCCAATTCCAGGCCAAAAGCTCCCAAATGGAGCTTCCTTCTTAGTGCCTGAACTCGTCCCCAGGCACTGCCATCTTGGGGCCTGCCCCAGTCTGAAAAGCCCACTCAGGCACCTGGAACCAACCCCGCTGGCCAGAGAGATGCCCCAGTGGAGTGAAACGTAGGGCTGGTGGGGGTTGGGGGGGTGGGGATTGTGAAATTCAGTGGAAGCCCCCCACCTGGAAGGAGGCCTGCTCTCAGTCCTTCCCAAGCCCCATTCTGGGTCAGTGGCCACACCCACTGCTCAAAACACACATGGAGATCCACATCCTGGGGATGGCAAATGGCACACAGTGGGCCAAAGCCAAGACCCAGGAGCAGTGAAGAAAGAGGGTGCCAAGAGGAGAAACATCCGCCTCTTCCCCTGCCTCCCCACCAACGCCTTCCCCTGCCCCTGGCTCCCGCCTCCACCTGCTCTCTTCGGCCCAGACCCCCCTGAGCTCTCCTCTGGGTCTTCTCTGGGGCCACAGGCCCTCAGGGCCCTGTTCCCTGCGGCTGCAGGTTGCACACTCCTCTTTCCACAGACCTAAGATAAGATCTACCGCCCCATCTCGGAAAGCCTCCAAAGCAAGATTAATTGGACAGCCCAACACGAGTCGCATCGTTAAAACAACAGCCCAGGTTGTAAAGTTAAGTAGCAGAGGGAGTGTAATTACTCTCCCAGCCAGAGGCCAGCTGAGCTGACAGCACCCCTCCTTCCCTACCCCCATCTCTCGGCCCTTTCCGGGGGAGACGGGAATCCTTTTCCACTTGGGAGCTGGCCCAGTTTCCCTGGGCTCCTGGGTGAGGATGGGGCTGGAACCCCAGTGGAGGAGGTGCCCCATTACCCTCCTTCAAGCCATCGGAGCTGTGGAAGGGGAACGTGTGGTTTCTTCCCGTGAAGAGGACGCCACTTTGGGAAAACTGGGTTAATAAGGGAGTGGTTAAGAATGGGGGCTTTGGCCTCCACAGAGTCCCAGCTCTGCTGTGTGACTTTGGGCAAGTTACTTAACCTCTCTCTGAGCCTCGTTTTTCTCCCCTTGAGATGGGAATACTAATGGGACCTGCTTCCCAGTGTGGTTGTGATGATGAAATGAGATAGTGCTTGTAACATGTTTGACAGGGTGCCTAGAACATAGTAAGCCCTTAATAAACGGCATTTATGGCTGCTGTAGGATTATCGGGGAGGAGAGGTCACGGCGAGGGTGAGTTCGTACTGCCATTGCCATCTATTCGTCTCTGCCTCCTGAGGGTAGGAGGAGGAACCGGGCTGGAGACTGGAGAACTCCACACACCTCTGGGCACCACCCTCTGAGAGCAGGACAGAGGCAAGCTCCTAAAGGCAAAGGGCCACAGCCCTGGGCATCTGACGTCAGCTGAGACTGGAAAATGGAGAAGGGGGTCCAGGGCACGTTGTCTCCCCGACAAGGGTCTCAGCCACAGGAAAGCTGACTTGGGGCTTCCTTTCCCTCTCCCCATAGGCTATTTTAAGACGTGCCCCCCATTTTCTCCCCCAACAAAATGAGATTCAATTAATTCAATTAAAGCAATTTTGGGAGCAGCTCCTGAAGGCTTTCAATGTGAAATAATTACAAGTAATTTGCTGCTGTGAAGAGGAAAAGGGCACACGGGGTCTGGGGGGGAAGGAGGTAGCCCCCTCTCCACCCAACCCACTCAGACCTAGAAGGATTCCACACTGTAATCTTAACTGCCCTCCCATTGGCCAAATTACTTGCAGGTGGGAAGAGGGAGAGTGTGGTGGTGGGAGGGGGCTGGGAAGACCCTGAGTGACAGACCGCCCCTCCCCCACCCAAAAATCCACTGTGCGAGGTGGGGGTGGGGAGCTGGTCGTTCCCCGACAAAATGTCTGCACAGCCCTAGCAGTCGATTACTCAGCCCCAAACCTCATTTGGAGTTTAGATGCCTGAACTTGCCTCTGGGATTGGATCCAGAGTCAATGGAATGTTATCCGGGTGGCTGAAGCCTGCATAGACGGGGTCTTGGAGATCAAGGACTTCCCCGAACTTATAAGGGATGTACATAGAGAGGGGAAAGGCCAGAGAAGGCAGACACTGACTTCCTGCTTCCAAGGTGATGAGGATACACCCACTCTCTCTCCTCTCCTGATCTGATGCTTTCTTGTTCTGCCCGATGTCTAATCTCAATTCTTTCCACTGTAGTGGTGGCAAATCTTCTCTCAGCTTTCTGTCCTCAGGGCCACTGAACCCTCTTCCCTCAGAAAAGCATCCTGTGGGCGTTTCCCACCCCCAGCTCACCTGGGATAACTCTTTCCTTGCTTGGGCTCATTTGGCCGGGGCGGAGGTAGGGGGAGTGATGGTGCTAGAAGGGAAGTAGAGGCAGAAGCTAGCAGCAGGCAGTGGCTGAGATAAAGGTGTGGGGATGGGCTCAGGCCTCTGCAAAGACCCCTCTAAACCCTGCCCACAGGGGAGCTGGCTTTCAAGGGACTAGGAGCCCCCTTTATGTGGGAGCTCCTGTTCTAGGAGGTGAATAATGTTTTAACAATTATGGTGGAAAAGAAAAATTCACGGACCCCAGAGTATTTCTTTCATAGCTTCCCTTCTTTCCCATCTTTCCTTGCTTCTCCCATTCCAAGGAGGGGTGAAGAGGAGGGCGCCTTCAGCTCTGGTTCTCCGGACTCCAGCCCTTGCCCCACCCCTTCTCTGAGTAGTATGGCTGTTGGACCTGGGAGCCAGTGAGTCCTTGGGCCACTTCCGTCTCTCTTCTTCCAAGACAGAACTCTTAGAGAGGGAAAATTGGCTGCCTCTCCAGGCCTCGCCTGCACCCTTTCCTGGCCAGCTTAGATTGGTTCCAAAGAGGGAAATTAAAGACCCTTCCACCCCACATCTCAAAATACAAAGGCTCCAGACAAATGCACAGAGACGGGCAGAGGCAGGGACCCGAGCACAGGGAGCCTGTAAGCGCACACACACTTCCACGGAAGAAGGTGCACGCGCAGCCAGGCAGACACACAACAGCATACGTGGAGCGGGCAGAGCCGAACAGAGAGACACACATGAGCACATGTGCATGAAGCCTTCCCATGACGGTACATGGACATACATAGAGAAATATACTCACAGAGAGAAGCTCAACACCCTGGAATGAACCAAGAAGATGCACAGGGACTTAAACACATGCAGAAACAGACTGAAACATACCCCGAAATAGGCAGACCAGCTTCCCTTATGTGAGTGTTTGTGGGGGCGGGGGTGGTCTCTTTCTCTTTCTCTTTCTTCTCCTGCCCCTTCTTGGTCCCACCCTTTTTCCTGGCTCTTCATCTCCTATTTTCTGGGAATGTTTCCCTGGTGAGTGGTTGGGGAGGGAGACCGAATGGACACAGAAACCCGATAATTTCATTATGACTTTTTCTTTGTTCCTTGAAGCCTTGCCTCCTTCTTTCCCTAAGCTCTAGCAAGAGCTCCTGTCCCAGCTTCTCTTGGCATGTCCCACAGCTCCCAGAAGTGGCCATCAATTCCGGCCCAGGCACAGGAACCCCAAGACTGTCCTCTCAGATGTCTCCACTGATTGCTCTCCTCCCCTTCCCTGACAGCAACTCTGGCCCCAGGGAGGGAGGAGGGGGGCCTGGGATCACAGGGTAATGAGGAGAGCACTGCTCTGCTACTACTTCCTGTGTGACCGTGGCAAGGTTACCTACCCTCTCGGAGGCTCAGATAATTTCTCTTGCCAAATCCTCTGTGTGTGTAGGAGTTGATATGTGTCCACCACCACTTTCTACTCCAGTCTAGGGCTCTATAAGGTAGAGCCTGTCCCCCATCAGATTGGGGGCCCCCTGAGTATAGGGCTCTGCTTCCCCTGTCAGAGTAGATACAGTTTGCGGCTCTTTCCAACCCCA